CAGCAGTCAGTATGGATACCATCATGTGGTAGTAACACCTCATGAATTCACATGGTAGTCGAGAAAAACGCTTGGTGATTGAAGTGAAATAAAATAGATCTGGTCAGTAGTCGGACGTCATAGCTGAATTGGTAGAGCATTGGGTTGGAAACCCAGTGGTTGCTGGTTCGAATCTGGCCACGGTCCAAATTTTCAGTTCATCTTCAATCGTCATCCAGTATTGGGATATAAAACAATCAACTTTAGTGATTCATGTTGTGGGCTGTACAAACAGAACTGATGACTGTGGAATATCCTCGTCGATACTATGTTGACGTATATATCTATCTGATCTGTTGATCTCCTCCACGTGAAGTCAGCCAATAACGAGAGAATCAGAGGAGCATCTGCATTAAACCACTTAAAAAAAACAATAAAGCCAATAATTTGTTGTCGATCTGCTTTCAATGCAGTATATTACGGCTCTTAGCTTTGATGGTTCGAACCCGAGCCAGACACCGAAGAGCTGTAGCATACAAACACAGAATAATTGTGTATGTGATATAGATTTCAAATATAAATCTTTCTGACACAAATGATTCTCTCAACTGTACATTTATGGAAAACTATTAGAGGACATCACGCGCCAGGCCGTCGAGTAGAATCCAAATAGGAAACGACAAACTGGGCATCTCAGTTGAGGGTGACATGGAGGAGATTGTGTGTGAGGAAGAAATGGAAGGTTCTTGGCAGTCGTGGAGGAAAATTAAAAAGAGTGGAGAGAAGAGAGTGAAATAGAGACAAGCTACTGAATCTCTATGTTCCACACTGCTCAAGTTTGACTCCCATATCAATAAAACAATCCTTTGCTGTATTCCTAACAGCCCAATGATGGTTATAGATAAATCAGACAACTTGAGTTCATGATTATCTACGTCAAAACTCTGATAAAACATAAAACTCATCGTCATTACAAATCTCTGATATACAACTATTCAGGTTGGTGATTACACACTTTAAAACCTAATCGATAAACTTCACTTATTACATAACAGTTGAGTAGTGTACGGGTTACCATCTAACAATCAGTTTTCACTAACTTAACTGAACAAAAACATAGAAGAAGATTACAGTGAACAGACTGTTTTCTTCATGACAAAAATCATTCTCTTCATTGTATATTCATGAATAGGATAGTATAACAATTCAGAGTAATTTACAATTAAGCATCAATCGAAATTACATGACAAAGGAAAGTTACATAATAAGAAAATAAACAAAATAAGAAAAGATACTTAGATATCATAAAGGAATTTCTCTAAACTAATCAATCCTTTACAATCTCTATAATACACAACGAGGTTGTATCTACTTATTTCACACTGTTCATTCTTCAACCATCCTCAAATATCTCAACGTTACTCTTTTCCACTGACTGACTGACTGACTGAGTATACAGTTTGTACAGAATTTTCAAAGACTCAAATATCTTGACTTTATTATGGATTCTGTGTTACACAGTTTGTGGATAGATTTCTATTCTCCTCTTATCTATTGAATTGGATAACTTTCTTAAGTCATTGTTTATCATCAATCATTGAATATGAGATATATTCTCTTGTCAAAAAATCATTTGATCAATATACAAAGGACAAGACGAAGTATTGATCCATATCAATATATGTGTATATGTATCAATTTACTTACTGAGTTGAGCACATTGACTGTACCATGTACAAGGTTATGTAACTGGTTTGTGAAGCCTACTGAAATTATCTGACAAGAGGAGAACGAGACTGTGTATCTTCATCTCTGTACCAGGATACTTAACTTCTTTTACATAAATTCTTCAAAATTCTATAAAACCTGCGACTAAGCCATTCAACACTTCAAACCATCATTATACATTCCAAAGGAAGCATGTACAATCTGTTTCCTTGTCATATCCATAGTAAAGGATCGATCATTCCAGATAACTCACATATCACCCAATTATTTTCATTTTTTAATCATTTTCTTGATTTCCTCATTTTATACACTACACCTACAGACATTACGTAACTTTCTTTGGTCATTGAATTTATTTTGACCTTCAACTGGGAATTACTCTGGAATATTGTTCTACACTTTCTTGTCTATATTCACGAGTATACAGTTAAGTGAATGATTTCGTCGAAAAGAAAAGTGGTTTTTTTCACTGTAATTATCTTCTGTGTTTCCCTAGGATCAAACTTCACCCAGTAAATATACATCAGTATAGGTAGTAAGTAGATTATGACTCTGTTGATCGAGAAGTCTTATGGCAATAGCTGTCACTGAAAGCGTGCCAAGTAAGTACATCACTTTATTGAAGTCTCTCCACTCAAACACTTGTGGGCATGTTAGAGCCTATAGTGAGATGTCAGGGAGCTGTACTCATCGAGTGGTGTCCGTCAAGGGTGCCCACTGTCTCATACAGGTCTCCCTCTCGTCGCCTGACTACACAGACGTTGACCTAATCTGTGGGGAGTTTTCTTTAGGCCTAGAATATGCAGATGACATAGTCCAGTTAGGTGAAGACGTTGACAAGATGCAGAGTCTTCTGAACACTTTGAATGGCAATTTGAGAATGTTTGGGATGCATTTCTCACCACCACCACCACATGCAAATTGTTGCTCCAGGATTGGTCTTCAACGGTGCCCCACCACGGCTAACAATAGAGAGTGAGTGTAGTGATTGAGTGTGTGGAGCGCTTCACTTACCTGGGAAGTAGGATCAGCCCTGATGGCTCAGTGGCCCGTGAAATCTCTACGCACATACAAAAGGCTCGATTGACTTTCGCGAACTTATGCCACCTGTGGCGCCACCGTGATATCCGATTGTCACGTATACTGCACAGCAGTCCGCTCTATTCTACTTTATGGCTGTGAAACATGGCCATTGAATGTGGAAGACATGAGAAGGCTGGCTTCAGGTGTTTGACCACCACCATTGTCTTCCCAGTATAGGCCGCCATATTCCGTGGTGTCACCACGTGAGTAATGCAGAAGTCAGGTGTAGGGTTTAGAGACAAGAGGGAAGTCGGTTGACAGCCTATGAACCTTCATCGACTGAGATGGTTGGGACACGTACTACGTATGCCTAGTCACCGATTGCCTCATCACACAATGTTGGCTGAAGTAGGTCCAGGCTGGAAAAAGATACGAGGTGGCCAGACTGAAACATGGCACCAATGCATGAAGTGTCTGATTGTTGGTTTGAGCCATGTGGGGTGATGCAGACCAGGTGGTTGGGGTCGGTGGGACAAGAGGAACCAGTGGTTGACGACTGACTGTGGGTGATCAATGGCTGAGAACCGATGTCAGTGGTGCAGATGTATCCTCACACACATTTTCCTCATCTTAACGACGCTATATCGAATCTCACCATTTTCTCATTCTTCCTTTCTCTCTCTCTTTCCATACTTTACACTTCGTTTGACTGATTTTCTTATCTTCATCTTCCAGTTGACTTCCTTTCTACTTGATATGGTGGGTGATATGAGATGTGACAAGTGGGACCGTTACGCAGTAATACCTGGTCCTAGATTGATTTGGATGGATGGATTAGATTATCAGACATACCTGAATGAGACTTACTTAAGGTGGATATCAGAGGGAGTTAAGTTTTAGGTGTGATGTGTACACACTAAACGTACAGTTTACTAAACAACAACTTCATACACATAAATTTAGTTACCATTGGATTTCTGATGTAATCGTCTACTGTTGTTCAGGTTTTCAGTCGGAACGTTGATATACACTGAGCTGTTTGATGGTAAATACTGACGGTTGATCGGTTAGAAACTTCGTCTTATACTTGTTGACATTCATTATCAAGGCATACATGGAATATCAGCAGCAAAATCTTCAACTTTAGTAGTCAGGGCTACAAGATTATGGATAAACCTTGCTGTTGAGTGTAATCAAGCATATATATTTAAACATATGCTTGTGCATGGTATAGCTGCACGGAAGCAAGCAAACTGATAAACGCACATATTGATTCGGATCAATGCTCCAGCTTATCTTCTGAACTCTAATGAATGGGTTTTGTAACAGAAGAATATTATCCTAAGATTGGCGCCAACAAATATTCTCTTTATAGATCTCCCCTGAATTCGAGGTTCAACAGAAATATCTTTTCAAGAGCAGTATGAACGTCAGCCTTTCCGAATGAAATATGAAAATCTTATTATCTATCCTCAGTGGTTGCTAAGGTGGTCGTTAAAGTCACTCTAAAATTCACAGTTACTTAAAGGCCACCTCAGTAACTGTTGAAATAACCAATCAGGTTCCAGTATTTTTGTTAAGAAGTTCGCTTTTCGTAGAGTAAAGAAACTTAATTGGTTATGTCAGCAGTTACTTTGAAGGTAACTCGACCAACTTCTGTGGTAGCCAATTACTTTTCTTTATTTTATGTGCAATTCCCTCCCCATCTGGAACAGTGCAACCTGATTGGCTAACTCAGCCGTTACTATGATTGGCCTACAGAATCAGTCAATCCGACCAATTAAGTTTCTTTATTTCAAATACCCTACCAACTGTTCAACTAACCAATCAACTTTCCTTATTTGGGGCTGAGAAGTTAATTTTTCATAAGAAAAAAACCTGATTGGTTGTCTGAGTAGTTACCTTTGAACTCACTCGAAAAACATCATCCCAGCCGAAATAACTCCGAAGGTCATTCAAGTAATTGTTGAATTGACCAATTACTTTTTAGCATTTCGGTGGGGAGGGTAATTACTTATAAAATGAAGAAAAGTAATTGGTGCTGGGTTCGACTCCCCATAACACATGTATCCAAGTAAATTATCCAAAAAATACGAGAAAATATGCATCTTGAAGTTCATTTCAAGTGATCACAAGGCAACATTAAATAAACATTGAGGAGTTGTAAGTACACCCAAATTTGAATAGATTGAATTAACCTTTTCCACTGATGAGATAAGATTTCTTTCACATTTTTCTCCTGTTTTTTTCTTTTTTTCCCATGAATATAGCAGTTAAAGTTCATTCAATAGCTGCTTGTCCACAGACATTGTCTACAACAACGGTAACGCCAACATTGTCAGCTCCAATGACAGCGATAACAACAACAACACTATTGACGAACACAGTTCCAAGTGGTACTGGTACACCTACTAATCTTAGTAGTAATCACCCCACCCTAATATCATGTAAGTCAACACCATCATCAACATCTATACAAAGTGATGATGGACATTCACAACAGCCAACAACTGTCTATTATACATTAGCTACAAATGATTTAATACGTCAGCTTAAGCTAAGCCATCAAGCTATACAGATTGATTCGAATACATCACCAAGACAACAAATTATTCAAACACCTTCTGGTCTAATGCTTATTCAATATCCTCAACCACAGCAGCAGCAACAACAACAGCAGCAGCAGCAGTGTCCAACAACGGTGAATACAGCTTTCCAACAACACCAACAACATGGACAAAATGATAACACATTATCACGTAATCTTATGACATCGAGTACCCTATCAGCTAAACATAATGCTCAGATAGGTGTAGTTGGTTGTACTACTGGCTCACTTATTCCTGGGAATGTGGATTCAAATACTCTACCACGTCATGCACGTGTTGAACATGTACAAGGATCCAGTTTAATATGTACATGTCCACCTGAAGTACATCAAGGTAAGATACAGTTATCATATAATGATAATTATTGATTGATATCCATTAAAAGTGATCTGTTTTCATTGTGGACACGTGTTGCATAGATGAACCTAAACTGCACTGAGTGGTGTTGTTCCTACTTGGGCTTGAACCAGTGGCCACATGCTTCAAATGTCACAGGGTTATCCAATCGGCCATAGAATCATGAAAGGCATCCCTTGTGAATGTAGTATCGTGTTGCTGACTGGAGAGAATTGAAAAGTCTCCCATTGGCATATGGGCTCCTGTGAGGATGCCTCGATATCGCCTGTAGTTTCAGCTTCATGGTCAATGGTTGATCAATGGTCAAGGTTTCGTATTTTTCGGCACTCGTTAGAGCAGTTAGTTTCTAATGGTTCATTCATATTACTCAGTATTCTGCAAGGGGGGGGGGAAGGAGGGGAGAATACCAATACACGAACTGCTCACCAAGGGATAACAAATATCTCTGTCTAGTCTTTAGTACTCTCCACTGACCGAAGTCTATGCTTCAAGTATGACAAAAACCTACTTCACACATGGCTTCGACCATCTTAAACCGAACTACAGTGCACCACAGTGTGTCGGTTTCACTACCACAAATCCTTATCGACCTCATTCAACAGCTATCTGCTACGCTATGTGGTGATGCTACATGCCAGTCAAGTGATTGACAACGAAAAGCTAAGTGATGCGTTTGAAGTGAAGAAAGTGGACAGGAGTAAGACAAGGTTGCCTACTATCATCACCGATGATGTTTCTGATTATCGCCAACTGGACTGGACTGGACTGGATCATGCAACGATCAATTGTGTGGAGCTGTGAGAAGATGGGCATACGCAGGCAGAACGAATGAAAAGACCGCAGAAGGAGATTTCGATTTCGCTGTTGAGGATGATTCGTATCTATTGTCCTGTTGCACAAACTCAAAGATCTACAGAGGAAAACTAACGAATTGGGAGAAGAGGCGAAGCGCACTGAGGTGACTTAGTGAAGAAAGACTGGACATCCTTCAGGCGAACATAGAGAAGACAGAGGTGATGAAGATATCCAACCAACAACAACAAGCACTAATCACTATCAGTCGGGAAATCTGGAGGAAGTTATCTGTTTCACCTACCTACCCAACTAGGCAGCATCGTCTCAGTTACAGGCAGCAGCAAGGTCATAGGCACAAATAAGGATGTCAAAACCAGTCATGATCAGAAAGACAGCAAGAAAGGCATTCCTGCATTAGTCTGAAATAGTCAATGTGGACATGTACTCTACTGCACTGCACCCAGCATAGAGCGTGAACAACATCCAGATTTTCAACACGAATGTCAGTCAAGTAGGTGAGTGCTTCAACAGTGTGATGATTGAGAGACTTGACACCTTACGAAAAGCATTTCCAACAAACTACAGATATACATCACATGAACAGCTGCCACCTATATTCACTCACTCACTCATTCACTCACTCACTCACTCACTCACTCACTCACTCATTGAGTGGATAGTGACATTGAAGATGAAGATGAGATTAGATGGGCAGAATAAGATGATAAGAATGAGGAAGTGGGAACTCTGGTTGACTGTCAACGAACCAAGGAATGGAGCAAGAATCAATTGCCCAACCGATATGCAGTGTAGGAGAGTGGAGATGTATGTGATTGTATTGTATTGTAGATAGAGTGAGAATACGGTTTTTGGATATGAGGTGTGAGGCCAGTGCAGGTGAGTTTGTGAAGTGGAATCCGCATTGGAAACGACGAGTTGGGTGTGTGAGGCGATGGTGACATGGAGGAGAGTGTGTGATGAAGAAATGAAGGGTTATGGTCAGTGGTGTAGATAGGTTGAAAAGACTGCAGAGAAGAGAGTGCAATGGCGACTTGCTTCTGAAGCCGTATGTCTCACCAGGAACCCAGTCCAGATATAATAAAAAAATAATTTTGTAAATTGTCATCTTAGCTGCACTAGCGAGTGAAGTCAGTGGGAACCTCCAAATTTCCATACAACTCGACAGATATGAAGCTAGTGGATGTGATCAGTTCAACGGAGTGATCGTTTACATGATCTTCGAAAAAGTACACAAATTTCGACGAAATGTATGCTTTGCTTGCCAAACAGTCTGGGGTCGTTAACCCTTAGACAACACACTTGACTGAGATTCAGTGAGTGAGCCTGATGAAACGTTTCAAAGAATAGCAGATACCGTTTATCAAGAGAATCGAATGGACAATATCAAAAATGCTGAATCTAACTATACGGTCTACATTTGTAAGCAACGTGGATCGTAGTCCTCACTGTTCTCATCCTTCACATTTCTCTCGAATCCTCTGAATTCCTTTGATGTCCTGGAAAGTGATGACACAATGTTATCACGTTGTATATTGATATTGACTTACTGCAGCTTATGAAATAGATAGGCTGAACTTTTATAGTCATCTTAGTAACTATGCTTCAGGGTGTTGTATAGCCTCGTTTGCATATTTACATCAGTACGCAGCCAAGCTCTCCTTGAATCAAGTTAAAATAACCATAGTAAGCCATTCTTGTGGCTAAATGCCTCATTAACTATTGAGTTTTCTTAAGTATCCAATAAGAGATTGCGGCCTTCAGATGCCAACCGCGTTGTATGAAGTAACAGCATTACGCACCGGATTCGAAGTTAAAGTGGGATCCGGAAGAATGTCAATGGGATTGAAGGAGTCAGTCTACCTTCATATCAGATTTCTTCGTGCCCTAATAGCTTAATGGATAACCCTATGGTGTGTAAATCAATCTGTCCAGCGTTCGAGTCTCACTGGAGAGAACATCACTCACTGGTGTTCTGATACATTCAGCTGAAGAGTCTGACATAGGACGAAATGCGCGTTCTAGATCCCACTGCTTACCACCAAGTAGACTACGAAATTTCTTTGGATGTTAGCATAGATACTGTAGACATGTGAGAGTGAGGGTGGATTGTTCACGGATTACATTGTACAACGGTAGTATCATGTTAAATGGTATCTGGCGTTGGAAATATATGAGACGTAGTAGTGAATCCCAATGGGTGGACAGAAATTCCTTGGATTAGAAAACTGCTCAGTCTAGGTTTTGTGCTTGTTGACACTCATCAGCAAGGCATATCTGCAACCTTGTGAGATTGGGACACCTAATTCACGTTTTCATTACTGTTATCTATTTTTTGTTGCCTACACAGCTATATTTGAACAACAAAAGAAACGTCAGCAAAAATCAATGGAACAAAATCAATCTGCAGCAGTAATACTCGGTGGTATAACTCCATTCAGTAAAGTCGGCAGTACCAGTACGAATACTACTACTACTGGTGTCAGTAGTACATCACTTGAGAGTACTGAGTGTGGGACGGCTACTATGTCGCGTAATTCAACAAATCTAGTCACTGGAGTTCCTAAAGAAAACGGATTACTGACTAAGTAAGTGTGTGTTGTGATAGGAGATTTGCTAAGTTCAGGCTTAGTTATTTGCTAATTATTTATATTTCTAGAGGTTTTTAAAAAATTTTTCCCCATGTGTGAATCGTGTCTTAGTGAAAAAAGTAGTGACTCTCAAGGTCAACCTGGTAACTGATTGGACAGTCAATAACATTTGTTCATCCCACGAATAACGAACTTCCCAGCCAAAATACGGAAATCTGATTGGCTACTTCAATGCATGCTAGGGTGACCTTGAAAGTCACACGCTAAAATAATCTATGATAATCGACTCGAAGGTCACTTTGGCGACTGCTGAAATAACCAATCAGATTTCAGTGTTTCTACTGGGATGTTAGTTTTTTTCAGAAAGTGGAGAGAAGTGATTGGTTATCAGTTTATAATTTAAAATTGTCCGTTTATATGCGTTTTCCTTTTCCTATTGGCTATTTGGCGTTTAACTGTACTATTTATCGATTTCATTCCTAAGGAAGTAAGAAAAGATCATATAAATGCGAGAGAACTTCAGTCTGTTTATAAACTACTGGGGTTGAATTAATCAAGAGATGTCCATTGCATTAACAAACTAGTCAGTCAGTAACTCTTAGACATTTAGTAATTTCATGTAGAAAACTAATTTTGAAATTGATTTCTAGGCTCTTCAGTAACAAATATCACCACACAGTATTGAGGTTCGGTTAGCAGCTACAAATTCTCGTTGTCAAGTATTCCACTTTGAAAGCCAGAAACAACAAGTCGGTTACAGTTTTCTAGGTTAGTCTTACCCATATCAGTTAAGGCTTGTGTACAGAAGTTGGAAAACTTTATTCAGAAGTTAAATTCTTGAAGTTTCGTGTTTATGAATTGAGATTGGTTTGAAAAACTGAGACGGAAAAACAGGAAAATATATCCTGTTCTCATCTATGAAGCTGTTAGTTAGTCGACGGTCATCAGCAGGAATCCCTGCCTGCATGATCAAGTTGTCATTCTTTTCGGCAGTGTTGGTGTGGCCCCTTCAACTCTCCTATTTTGTCAGGTGGTGGGATGGGCGACGATCGATAGCGTGACCTTCAACGTTCATTATCAGTATTATTATTATTTTTCCCTTGGGTTCCTAGTGGAACATAGCGCTTCAATGGCACGCCTCCGGTGAACCTGCCAACACGCTAGCCAACAAGCTCTTATTTCTTCCTCACACAATCTCCTCCATGTCAACCTCAGGTGGAATGCCCAACTCATCATTTCCCCTTCGGATTTCACTCGAGGGCCTGGTGCGTAATGTCCGCAATCGGTCTTCTCAGTGTATGCCCAATCCATCTCCACTTCCTCCTGCATATTTGTTGGATGATAGGTTCTTGCTCCATTGGTTGGTTCGTTGCCAGCCAGGCAGAGTTCGTCGTCGCTTATTCTTTCTGGCCATCTGATTTTCAGTATCGAGCCAGAATAGGCAAAAGTTACGTCTAGGTAATCTTTGACTGGTGGCATACTGGTGTAGTTCTTATGATTGAAAACTATTATAGACTAACCCACCAGTTTTGTTTTACACGTCTCTTCAAGACAACTCAATTCTGCCATTCTGTTAAAGTGTCTTTTTTTTCAATACCTTATTCATTCACTTTATTAGTGTAATGGCCTAATTTTAAATATCATGGGAATATAATTAAGGTCAAATTTCTAACTTATCATTCGTCCAATCACATTCCAGTATTGATTATGACCTAGAAATAATTGAGTCATCATCATTTTCATATGAAATTCAATGTGTATATAAGAGCGTGCGTGTGTAATGCGTGTAGAGCAGCACGATAGGATTCTAACAAATTCATCTAGACTACTAATGGTCATTATGCCTAGAAAAATGTTTCACTGGAAACTGTGAACCACTGGAAACCGACCCAGTGGCTGAATGATTAACTCACTCACCGTGAAACCTGAAGGCCCTGAGTTCGATCCCTGGATGGCGGGGTCGTGGGTGCGTACTGCTGAGGAGTCCCATAATATGAAGAAGCAGCTGTCCACTGCTACCAGATTTTCAATGGTCCCCCAACTGATGTCAGTACATGATAAAATGGTACTTAGAAAACTTCTCAGTAAATTTTAAAGATGTTATTCATCGTAGACTGACATCAGTTGAAGAAACAAAAGAAACCTGGGAGAACTGGACAGCCATCTGTTTCGTCCTAGTATGGGAGTCCTCAACAGTGCACATCCACGACCCTACCCTCCGGGGATAGGACCCACGACCCTTAGGTTCTGTGGCCAGCACCTTAACATTGAGCTATTGTGTCACAGTCCAATGGTCCATATTTCCAAATTCTGTTAGCTCATGATATGGCGCAGCCACCACCCAATGTCATCGTTGTGTAACTGTCTTGGCCACGGAACCTGAAGGTCGCGGGTTCGATCCCTGGAGAGTGGTGTCGTGGGTGCGCACTGTTGAGGAGTCCCTTACTTAGAAGAAACAGTTGGCTGTCCAATGCTCCCAGGTTTCCTTTGTTCCTCCAACTGATGCCAGTCTACGATGAATAACAACTTCAAATATTTCTGAATCCCTATAACTCCATCAAAATTTTAGTGTTTGAACGTATATACGTGGATGCTAATTTACATTTTCTACAGGAGTTTAATTCTCACTGTCTTCATGATACATAAAGGGACTATGACAGGTAGAAATGAAACCTCAGGACTCGAACTATGGATCTCTCTCTCCATATATATATATATATATATATATATATATATATATATATATATATATAGACTCTTTACATACAGAGGTTGTATTAGTTCTGTGGACTTCAACTATACATCTATTGACGGTTAAAAGCAATGTTTTAAGTGGTGAAATGCTCTCATTCATTGCTTGTTGTCATATTGGTGTGAATTGATCTACCTCTGTTGTTGACAGTATGACCTCCTGTGCTGATGCCTTTAAATTACTTGAAGATTGATTGAAATTCAGTTTTTTCGATAGTGACTGACTAGCAGTGGAATACAGGACGTATGTTTCGTCCAATCTGTGAATCATCAATTGCTTGTATCTACTTAGTAACCTCTCATATATATGATCAATTTGACTAATCTAAGTAATCATATCTCATTATTAATTGATTTTTTTGAGAAAAAAAACATCATGTTTACATTACTGTCAATAGATTATACATTGTGGTAAACTTGAATCATCTATACACCATTCAAGTCCCCTACAAAAGTAAAATTATGATAATTGATTATTTTTCCATTGATTTCCTGGTGGAACATAGGGTTCAGTAGCATGCCTCTAGTGCACTCTCTCCTATGCAGTCTTGAAAACCTGCCAACACTACGGCCTACAAGTTCTCATTTCTCCTCACACCATCTCACCCATATCATCCTCAGCTGGGATGCCCAACTCATCGCTTCTCCTCTCGATTCTACTCCATGACCTGGTGTGGCTCCTGATGTCGTCGAATCGTTTCCTCAGTCTATGCCTAATCCATCTCCACTCTCACTTTATCGCATATTCCTTGGGTGATGGCTTCTCCGTTGGTTCCTTACAAGCCAATCACACTTCCTTGTTGCTTATCCTTACTATTCTCACCATCTGATCTCATCTTCATCTTCAGTATGCAGTGAGCGTAGCTGGCAGCTGTTCATCTGATGTATGTCTCCAGTTTGTTGGAAATGCTTTTCGTAAAGCGCCAACTCTCTCAACCATCACACTGTTCAAGCACTCACCTACTTAACTGACATTCGTGTTGAAAATCCTGACCTTGTTCACACATTTTGCTGAGTGCAGTAGATCTCCACACTGATTATTTCAGATTAATGCATGAATGCCTTTCTTCCTGTCTTTCAGATAGTGGCTGACTTTGACGTCTTCATCTATACCACGTGTTGTTAAAACAATGCTGCCTAGGTAGGTGTAGGTGAAAGAGACTACTCCTCCAAGTTTCTCCCCTTAATCATGATTGGTGCCTCTTGTTGTTCATGTTGTTGTTGTTGTTGTTGCTTTGTTAGTTGGGTATCTTCATCACCTCCATCTTCTCCACATTCACTTCAAGTCCCATCTTCACTGCCATGCCTCTTCTATCAACTTGTTAGTTTTCGCCTGTAGACGTTCGAGTTTGTGAGACAACACATTAGACATCAATCATCATCATCACCATCGTTGGCGAAATCCAAATGTTTTTCTGGGATGTTTTCATCTGTGAATTGGTGTATGCTCCCCTTCTCGCTTTGCTGCATGATCCAGTCCAGTTGACCACAATCAGGAAGATGATGGGTGATAGTAGACAGTAGCCTTGTCTTACTCCTGTCCACTGTCTTCACTTCAAAGGCATCACTGATCTTCCTATTGTGAATTACTTGGTATATGGTGTCTTTATATAATCATTGAATGAGATTGATGAAGGTTTGTGGTATTCCGTAGTGTTGAAGCAGCAGTTGCCAAATTACTTCTTAGTAGATTTGACTGTCATTTTATACTCTGGTCAATGATGATGCGTAGCTTAGCATTGCAATTCTATCCATACATGATTGTTCTTCTTGAAGACAAAGTACAATTTGTGTAAGTAATCTATTCGATTACAAATTGATCTAAAAAAGCATAGTCATTCTTTTTCACCTATAGGCAGATACAGGAGGTTTGGAATGCACATTCAACTTATGAACTCTCCTATAAAGTTTTCTGTTCATTTGGTCATATATGAAAGGAATCTGTCAATTTCTACCAAGGGAGGTTATCAGAGATGATGTGAAAATGTTAACTATTAGATGTTTTCAACCTGTTGACTGACTAACTGACTATCTGTTCTTATAATCATTGTATAGTGTGAAGAACCTACAATCTATACATACTTGTGAAGTTGTAAGTGTGCCTGAATGAAGAGTTTCACGTGTAGACGAAACATCTCTTCTGTATTTCTACGGTTTTATTGATCTATAAAATGATGTTAGGTTATAATTAATCTTATTATGCTTTAACTATGTGACATTGCTGTCGTTTGATACTGGGTGATGAT